AGAGAGAGAGAGAGAGAGAGAGAGAGAGAGAGAGAGAGAGAGAGAGAGAGAGAGCTGGGAGAAAGTAAGCAGGTAAAAAAGGTAAGCAAGCTCCTGCTCGTAAGCCTATCCCGAGGAGTTTCGGCATATCATCTGCCCAGTGACCAGCGGCCAGCATCGAAAGGACTTTCGCGTGTCTTGAAGCTGAAGCTAGCCTGGCTCTTGCGGAAGAGTGTTTCCGTCAGCGAGGTGCTCGGACATGACGATGTACAACAAGACCAAAACCAAAGATTGCTTTCTTACTACTTAGCTACGAGAGCGTGTCTAGAGAAGGGACGGGCCGGGCCGGCCTGTCTTTTTGCCATCTTTCGTTTTGGCCGGGAGGGGGATAGGGATGGCTCGGAGCGGAGCGGGGTGGCGGGAGGGATGCGGGAAGGTTACGATGCGGTGGGTGCGATGCCGCTGGTGGCTTGTGGGGAGAGGCAACTTCATTCGGGGGCGGGGTTCCCTGTCTGAGACTCTGACGCCAGAAAAGTATGTGAGGTACAACGGATGTGTGGAAATACAAGCTTGGGATGTTGCTGGTGTTGATGTTGAGATGAGTTAGCATGGAGTGGGACCGGGAGCTTTGAGTGGCGCTCGCTCTGTTTGCTCTGTTCCTGGGAACTATCATAACGCGCGTTCGAGCGATCCTCCACTGCGAGGAGAAAGAGAGGGAAAATAAATCTGCCTCGCACTCGCCCCTCAATGCCGTGATTCCTAGAGCGATGATCATGTATGTACAGGTACCAGAGCGTGCAGTGGTTGGTATAGACGAACGTGCAAGGTCAGCGTGGCGAGGAGAGAGCCGATGACAACAAAGCTGGATGTCAATTCGTAGCATCATGGCCGTCTTTACGGTTGCATTTGTCGAGCCCAGGACTGCGATGCCGATGATCGCGTTCGTGTCTGGGGAGCACGTACATATACGTATCTCTCTCTCTCTCTCTCTCTCTATATACACACACATAAAATTTGGTACAGCGATAAAGAGATAAAGAGGACATTGGTCGAGGAAGTGCCAGGTTTTGCTATGCAAATACCTATCAGACAGATTTGCGAATATTTCTGGACAGCATTCATAACTAAAGCTGTCTAGTTGCTCGACTCCCCTGCCACCTCTACAGCCAAAAATGATCTAAAGCCTTTGAGAGAGTTCATGGTTTGGTATTTGGCTGTGATGCTTGGGACGGCGAGGGAGGTGAGATGGTTGGAGAGTTGTACAGAGGAGAGAAAGAAGAGGCTTTTGAATATAACGACGAGTCTACCGAAGGCAAGAATGGCTGGTAGGCCGGTGGGTGTTCTCTGGTGCTTGAGTGAGGAATCACTTGCTGCTCGCCCGCTGCGATCTACAAAGAAAAGAAAAAAGGGGCGCTTGGTATCGTCTTTAGAGTATCTTCCTCGCTTAGAGGTAGGTATGAGAAGGAGGATTTCCCCTTCTCGCGTTAGGGCAAGTTGCATAAACGTGCCGGAATGGGCCAATGAGCCGAGAAGTTTATTGAACAAGAGGAAATATTGCCGATAATGTAGATCATCGCAACGAATCAATGCAGGAATAATTAATAACGCGATTGTTATGAGCTCCTCGTGGCGCTTGCCAGAATACGTCGCATAACACGGGCCCACATTCCGCGACTGCAGCCAATTTGCCAAATCAAATCTCATAAGAATTATGATACGGAAAAGTCATTAGAGACCGTACGGAGAGGTGATTTTATCGAGGATGGGGTCGCATTACTCCCTGCAGATTAGACGGCGTGCAGCAACGCGAGGCGAGGTCGATAAGTTGATAGAAGTAGAGCTGAAAAGGGGGAGATGGCAATCTTTTCTTTGAAGAATTTTGCCCAGAATTTAGACCAGATCGGGGTTAGATATCGGCAGACAGCTCCGCAAATTGGGGGCGGTGAGGACGATTCGCGGTTCGGGTTCGGGGTCGGGGGTTCGGGAGAAGGGCGAGAGAGACAGACAGTATTGCTTTTCGGGAGAAGGGGTTACAAGAGAATAATGGCAAGCCACGATCTGGAAGCAACTGGGGAATGCTTGGTATTAATTCTTATTATTAGAGCAGGGTCTCGACCCTCTCGCCTGTGCACTCGAAAATATAGTAGTAGTAGTAGTAGTACCGTATTACCGGTGCGTAGACGACGGTTCGTGTCACAAACAAGGCGGCGTCGGGGTTTCGTAGCTGTGTAATGCCTCCTGGCAGCCAAGTAATGCGGGGGAATGACGATGGGGAGTTTTACGTGGGAGCATGAGAAACGTGAGATTGGAATCTCTGGCAATTCATCGATTCATCTGGGCGGGCGGCTGTCAAGTTTGGGATGAATGGTGGCTGGTTCGTGTGTTTATTTTCAATTTCAGTCTCATCTTCGCTTTCTCCCGGTCCGTCGGTCGCCGTCGGTCGGCCCTTGACGGACTTGACTGACGGACTGACTGACTGACTGCCTGCCTGCCTGCCTGCCTGCCTGCCTGCCTGCCTGCCTACCCGCCTGCCTTGCACCTTCGCCGGCTCCTCCACCAATCCCATCCAACTGAATGCTTCACTTGTTCCTGGCGGCGCTAAGCTCGAGACGTGTCGTTCGAGCCCGAGTGCAGCGATCGTCGTCTTCACGCTGCAGCCATAGCCGCCCGAGGCCAAGCGCAAGCGCAAGCGCCCACTCCCAATCCCATTGCCACAGTGATTCCTACTGCTCGTGTCGCTCGCACTCGCACTCGCACTTGCACTTGCACGCAGGTCCGCAGGCGCAGGCGCAGGCGCAGGAACAAGGGCAGGGTTCGCGTCCGGGTCAGGGTCAGGGTCAGGGCACTATTCATGGCGCCTTGGATCGGGCCTACATCTCCACTATTTTCACCACTTCCACTTCAGATTTCACCTCTCGCCCAGCTCGCACATCAACTTCATCTCCAAGCAGCAGCGCTGCAAACCAATGTCTTTCCCATCAACCCAGTGCATTGCTCAAAATCATAATCATCATGGAAGATGCCAGACGCTCCTTTTCCTCCGCCTCCTCGCCCTCCTCTCCTGCGTCCTCATCCTCTTGCTTCTCCCTTCAACAACCTGAGACGCGAGAGGATTCAACTTTATCTGCCCCCCCCTTGGATCCCGTTCATCCTCTCAAAATAGCTGATACAGACCACGCCCGTAGCGGGAGCCACTTTACGAACTCTTCGCTAGCCATCCGATCTCGTGCAGAGACTCTTGCTTCCAATACGTCGTCCTCGTCCTTGTCGTCACCGGTGAGGAGAAAGCCGTTGCCCGCGACAGCTTCGCCCTTGGTTTCGAGGTTCTCAACTCCAGAATATCTCACGGCGAAGCTGTATCGACCAAACCAACCGTTCGTCAGACCCTTCTCGGTGGACAGCCCAACCCTCCACGAGTTTCCTCCAACGCCCGGTCTTCCGTATATCCCGGCAGAGCTTACGCAGCAGAAGTATATAGTCTCTACTGCGTAATGAAACCTGCGTGTTTCGGTGACATGGTTGTGCTGACCTGTCGACAGATTATCAAACGAACCAGTGGCTTTGACGGCGGCTACAGCTACACCTCCTGACACTGGTACCGACACATCGTTGCCCAATCACCAAACGAACCCGGAAGAGCATATCCCCATCCCGAACCTTCTCGTCCCATCGCCACCGCCAGCATCAGACTATTCGTCAGAGCATGTGAGGTTGACCAGCGAAGCATCCGCGTCAGAAGCAAGCACCAGCGGCCCATGGAACAGCGACTCTAGCTCCGCATCATACGCCGACTCCTCCATGTTTTCCAGGAAACCCACTCCACAAGATGAAGCTAACGTTACCACCTCTCGCGGGTACTCGACCGAATCCGACGACTCCAGCGCAACTCCACAGAAACCACTATCGTCGCCAGGCGCATCCAAGCTCGGAAGCTTCTTCGGTTGGAGAGCAGGTAACAATCCATCCCCAGGAACCGAAAAGGCTTTGGCAAATCGTACTCCTCCCGCCACCGACAACTCTAAGGCACCGGCCAGAAATATCCCCGGAGCCATCGATGTCCCCAAGGCCAATTCTGGGGTTGGGGGTTACTTTGGAAGCCCATATCTACAACCCCCTCCGACAACGCCAGCAACACCAATCCCAGTCGCAGAGATGGAGAAAGAACTGAAGGAGATCAGCTCCGAGCTGGCGTCCTCGATACGTCGAGAGATGGACCTGGAGGATCTCGTCGAGCGGTTACAATCAGAAGCACTCAACCCGTCCCCGACCACGGGGAAGCGAACCAGCGACTATTTCTCGGACTCGGGTACTAGCTCCGTCAGATACGGGGACCAGGACTCCAAGCAGGATGAGCTAGACCGGATGCTCCGCAAAGCCGAACAGGAGAAAGCTTTGATGAGCTTGGAACTAACCACCAAGGTGCAAGATGAGAGGGACAGACGCAAACATCTGGAGGTGCAGATTCGAGAGTTAGAAGAGAGGGCGTCACAGGTCGGTACATCTTATGGGTTACGAGCCTGTTGCTGACAGCTTGAGCAGGTTGACCTTAGTTCCATGAACTCCATGGACGCCAGTGGCCGATTGAGGGACCTCGAAGCCACGTGCGAAGATCTGCGCCGTCGACTGGCTGAAGAGAGACAGCTCAAGGATAATTTTGAGGACCTCCTCGTGGCGCTGAAGGGTGAGCTTCAAAGCTCACACAACGAGCGAGACAATCTGCGAGATGAAATCGTTCCTGGGCTCCGAGCTCGAGTGGAAGGTCTGGAAGCCCAAGCTGCCGAGCATGAAAGGCTCACTTACGAGCAGTCGAAGATGCAACAGGAGCTGCAAAGCCTCAAGAACGAGAATCTCACCCTGATTAATGCGCAGAGACTGCAGATGGAGATGCAACAGCAGATGACGAGGTTTAACGCGATATCCGAGGAAGCCACGCCTTCCACCCCATCCTCCGGGCTGTTCCGGTCAAACTCAGTCGCTCAGGCGACAGGTCTCTCCAAGAGCAGACCAGCGTCTCTGAGAAGGTCGACTTCCGTCAAGAACACCGAATCGAGAGACTCACTGGTTGAGCGGGTGAAAGATGTTGAACTCCAACGTGATGCCTTGCACAAAGCACTCCAGAGCCTCCTCGAACGTCAAGAGCACCAAAACCGCGAGCACCAGAAGAAGATCCGACAATTGGAATTGGAGAGGGATCGGGCCTTGTCAAGCTCTCCGCGACGAATGGGATACGATAAGGAGGTTGCACATCTCCGGCAAGAGATCAACAGTCTGCGCCGCCGTGCAGACGATGCTATCGAGCAGAAATGGCAATGCGAAAAGGGGTTGAGTGGATTGAAGATGGACCTCGACCGCGCGGAGCAGGAAATCGGCTCTCTGAAAACCCTGCTTGGAGAGAGCGATATCCTTGTTCCCACCGGACCACGGGAGAGGGGTGCCTCCGGGACCGTTTCGTCCGAGGCGCTCGAGCGATCGTACAAGGAGTTACAAAAGGCATACCGCGAGTCCCTGGATCGAGTCAAGAATCTCGAGGCTCCTGGTTCGCGGGACAAGGAGACGGAACGGGCGATGAGCGAACTCGAGCAAAGTCTTGCAGATGCCATGTCTGAGCGGGACTTTGCCCGGCGCGAAGCTGAATCTCTTCGAGGGCAGTCGGAATCCTTGCGCGAAGGGGAGATGTTCCACATGGGTAATGAAGCTGCGCTTGCAGAAGAGCTCCGTGGCTCAGCAAAGCGGGTTGAGGAGCTGGCAATTCAAGTCCGTCAGCAACTGGCTGCGAACGCGGCTTTGCGCCAGCGCCTGTCCGAAACGATCGAGCGTGGCGAGAAGGAGCAAAGGGCCAATGCAGAGAAAATCATGTTCATGCAGCGCAAGCTCAAGTCGCTCGAGGATCAACTGATGCTTGCCCAGCAGACCACCGAAGAGAAGGTTTCTCGCCACGAGAATGAGATCCGTGGCCTGAAGGAGAGCCACAACGTGCAGCTTCAACGCATAAGGGAGGGAATTCGCTCACCACGACGCTTTGAGCCCCACTCCCCCATCTCGCAACTCTTCGCCGGCTCGACTAAAGCACCCCAGCTCATTTCCACAACATCCGGCACGGCAATGACCGTATCAGAGGACTCCAAGATGGAGTTCCTTAAGCAGAAGGTCGGCGAGCTCGAGGCTGCTCTCGTCGAAGCGGATAGACAGATGGAAGAAGTCGTTGGTCGCATGAACATCGCACAAATCCAGGTTATGGAGCTGCAGAACGAGAGGGAGGAGGCAGTGCGCGAGACGAAGCGCCTACAGCACCGGATTGAGCAGGAGAAGGCACGGGCGTTGGAAGTTCGATAATCTTCACTTTCTTCTCAGAGATCCGCTTCGGAACACGACGTCAAGAATTGAGATGAGAGACATGCTGCATTTTTTCCCCTTGTTGCTTGCGCTTTAGCGGATACTCGACACGGGAATGCACACAATGCAACAAAATACAATACGCATCATAATAGGGGGAAATGACTCCTGCTGTATTGTTTGCGGGGAGTTGAGGATACGAGACGGAAGGAGTCTTAGCATTTACAATGGTTGGGATCGGGGTAGGATTGTTGTCCATTTTTGTGCTTTTCTTACCTTTTCAAAGCCGGATCCCTAGTTCCGTCCTCTCGGGCTTTGTCGAGATGGCTGTGTTTCTTGTATACAGTCAGATGATACCTCTTTTGTTTATTGTATCATAAGTAGCATTTTGGGGGTAATTGGATCGATACATGGTTGTCGAGGGGAGAGACTGTGGCGTGTGTGTGTATATATTAAAATGACAGGAGAGTGTGGTTGGAGAGGGGGGATGGTGTGTAGATAAAGGAAGGAGAAAGGGGAGAGATAATACGATAATTATCCTAAGTGAATCTCAAGGGAGTGACTTTATGCCGTGTTAGTAGTAGTAGTAGTATTGATTTGCGTCTAGTGGGTGGATAGCGGAACAAGCGCTTCTCGCCCTGGGACCTCCCTCCCAAGGGGTCTTCCAAGCACCAAACCTCGATAATCTTCTCTGGAACCGACCTAGTATCATCATTTACTTGATGCCGTGTTGGATATGCTCATCCTTCATTTTCTGCATGTTTTTGACTTCTGTGAGGTGTGCCGAGCTGGTCGGTATTTTCTTAACAATAATACCCAAGGCAACAGACGATTAGGTACAGTCAAGACTCAAGAGAAGACTCTATATGGCAGGTAGGTAAATTATAAACACTGAATGAACTTACTTATATCAACATACCCTCCCCTTCCCCCCCCTTCCTCCTTCTCTCTCCCTCCACCTTTGCTCTAGAGGGAAACGATGCGGCATCCGGGTTTGTCCTATCAAGAGAGAGAGAGAGAGAGAGAGAGAGAAAGGAAGAAA